GATATCAGCACTTCCACCCTGCATTTCTGGATTTCTGGACTCCCCTGGTATGAGCTCAACCCGGTTGGGAAGTCTGATCGCTCTGTTCCATTTTTGCTCCTTGTTTTTTTAAGTCAGTTAGTGATGTGCGCATAGCCGCATCTTCATCCACAACCGGCAAGCCTTCAGATATCCTCTGAGGCAAGAAAGGGGGGGGGGAGCGAAGGGCATGCTGAGAAGCCTCCTTTGTCTTTCTTCATGCCGGTTCCTCTGCCTACACCTTTGCAGCACACAGGGTGGGGAAGGGATTAACTGAAAACATGAGTTTTTCCAGAGGGGGAGGCAGCCTCCTCCAGCTGTCAAAAATTTTAAAAAAGAAGCCACCCGACCAACCACTCAGTGGTTACCCATCAGTAATAATCTGAATAGTCCACCATAGGGCAAGCGCGCAGTGAGGCCGCTTCAGGGTGTGCTGTCTGGTCACCCTTTCCTGCGACGATTTAAACTGCTGCAAAAAAGAGACGCCGCTAGATCACGCAAAGCCTCCAGTGTCACCTCAGCCTGAGATTCGAGTCCAGTCGAATCACAGAATCATAAGAGTTGGAAGGGACCTCCAGGGTCATCTAGTCCAACCCCCCCCCCGCACAATGCAGGAAATCCACAAATCCCCTCCACACCCCCAGTGACCCCTGCGCCACGCCCAGAAGAGGATAAAAAACCCTCCAGGATCCCCGGCCAAATTGGCCTGGAGAAAAATGGCTTCCTGACCCCAAAGTGGCGATCAGCATTTCCCTGGGTGTGTCAGAAAGGGCCACGAGAACTAAGCACGGAGGCAACCCTCCCTGCCCTCCCTCTTGTGATCCGCCTAAGTCCACAGAATCCGCATTGCTGTCAGATGGCCATCGAGCCTCCGTTTCAAAACCTCCAAAGGAGGAGAGCCCGCCACCTCCTGAGGAAGCCTGTTCCACTGAGGAACTGCTCCAACTGTCAAGAAGTTCTTCCTCAGGTTTAGCCGAAAAACCCTTCTGATTTAATTTCAGCCCGTTGGTTCTGGTCCGACCTTCTGGGGCAACAGAAAACAACTCCGCACCATCCTCTACAGGACAACCCCTTCAAGTACATGGACCTTAAAAACCACCTAGATTTTCCAGGGAATAAGCGTTGAAGAGTCAAAGCTCCCAGCTGTTTCTGCTCAGAATTTGGGCAATTTTCATCACACCCACAACACAATGCCTCTTTTTCTCTCTTTGCATTCTCAAGGTGGAAATGCATATTTTCTTTTTAAGAAATAGTTCTAGCCCCCATCCCTTACCCGGGAGCTTAAATCAACTTACAAAAAGAGAACAAAAACGGATATAGGAATGAGAGAATGTTTGGGGGGGGCTGCACAGATCTAAAAGGAAGGCAAGCTAATATGACCAAAGGACAAAGTTTGAGTGCGGTGGCACCTTTAAGACCAACAAAGTTTAATTCTGGGAAGAAGAAGAAGAGGAGGAGGAGGAGGAGGAGGAGATTGGATTTATATCCCAACCTTCACTACCCAAAGGAATCTCAGAGCAGCTTACAATCTCCTTCCCCTTCCCCTCCCCACAACAGACACCCTGTGAGGGAGGTGGGGCTGAGAGAGCTCTTTAGAGGACTGCCCTTGAGAGAACAGCTCTGAGAGAAGGAGAAGAAGAAGAAGAAGAAGAAGAAGAAGAAGAAGAAGAAGAAGAAGAAGAAGAAGAAGAAGAAGAAGAAGGAGGAGGAGGAGGAGGAGGAGGAGATTGGATTTATATCCCAACCTTCACTACCCAAAGGAGTCCCAGAGCGGCTTACAATCTCCTTTCCCTTCCCCTCCCCACAACAGACACCCTGTGAGGGAGGTGGGGCTGAGAGAGCTCTCTTGAGAGCTGCCCTTGAGAGAACAGCTCTGAAAGAACTTGTGACTGACCCAAGGTCACGCCAGCAGCTGCATGTGGAGGAGTGGGGGAATCATACCCGGTTCTCCCAGACTAGAGTCCACACTCCTAACCACGACACCAAACTGACTTTTGTGTGCTTCCATGTGTGTGCACATGTCTTCAGATACCCACAAAGGTTAGCCAGGCACCATAGCCTATACCTCTGCACCCTTGTGGGCAGGATGCTGAAGAGCTTCTGCATTGAACAATGATGTACAGCACTGACCCCCCCCCCCAAGTGCAATGGTGCTCCATGTTCTATGCACACAGGTGCACAAAAAACACGCGGAGGATGCTTTTAGCAAATTACAGGGGTCTCTCTCCATGCCAAAAGGAGCTGCGGTGGCTCAAGTGGTTAAGACGCTGAACTGCAGGCTGTGGAAGGTCAATAGTTCAGCAGTTCGAGACCTGAGCTGCCGCATGACGGAGTGAGCTCCCGTCTCTAGATCCAGCTCCTGCCAACTTAGCAGTTCGAAAGCAAGAAATTGCAAGTAGATAAATAGGGACCACTTCGGTGGGAAGGTAACAGCGTTCCGTGCGCCTTGGTGTTTAGTCATGCCGGCCACATGACCACGGAAACGTCTTCGGACAGCACTGGCTCTTCGGCTTTGAAACAGAGATGAGCACCGCAATCCTAGAGTCGGACTCGACTGGCTTACGAGCAAGGGAACCTTTACCTTTACTACTCTCCATGCCTGTTAAGCCCCAGAGGTGATAATTAACAACTTCGCCCTCTGAACTCAAAGAATAAAAGTAAATCAGTAATGGGACAACTGTGTACGCAGGAACTACAACGCGTACACAGTAGTCAGTGGCTAGTTGAACTTCTGGCTGGCAAGTTTGCTTTATGATATTCAGACACATCTCGGGGACCCAATTTAGAGAAGCAGCTCCTGGCACCGAGTCTCTTTATTAACACAACAAAAGAGACGCGTCCCAGTTCAAACCCGCTCATTATTCCCCCCCCCCCCGTTTTTTTCCCACAGCACAAGTCCGCGCGCCCTTCAAGATGCGGGATTTTCTCCCCGGAGAGGTCAGAGACAGCCGACATCTCCCTCCCTCCCCGGCCTTCAGGAAAAAAGAGGATTTTGCCATTTCAAGCTGTAAAGCTCCTTTGGACACCCTCATTCCCACAGCCGCTCTGTGTCAAAGGCTTCAGGTGACTCTGTGTGTGTGTGTGTGTAAGGGATGAGAAGGGGGTGTGAAGAAACTGGAGGCTTTCTATGCAGGAGGGGTTCTAAGTCTGCAATGGTAGAGTTAGCCACTAAAATATTAGGAGGAGGAGTAGGGGGAGGGAGAGGAAATGGGATTTATACCCCGCCCTTCACTACCCGAAGGAGTCTCAGAGCGGCTTACAATCCCCTTTCCCTCCCCCTCCCCTTCTGATGTTCTACTGAAGGCCTCGGCCTCTATGCCCCATTCTTTGACCTCCAGGAGAACTGGTTGCCCACCGTGTGAGACGGGATGTTGGACTAGATGGACCCTCACTGGTCTGACCCAGCAGGGCTCTTCTGATGTTCTTATGAAGGCCTCGGCCTCTGTGCCCTGTTATTGGCTCTCCAGAGGAACTGGTTGGCCACTGTGTGAGGCAGAATGGAGGACTAGATGGACCCTGACTGGTCTGACCCAGCAGGGCTCTTCTGATGTTCTTATGAAGGCCTTGGCCTCTATGCCCTGTTCTTGGCCCTCCAGAGGAACTGGTTGGCCACTCTTGTGTGAGACAGGATGCAGGACTAGATGGACCCTCACTGGTCTGATCCAGCAGGGCTCTTCTGATGTTCTCATGAAGGCCTCAGCCTCTCTGCCCTGTTGCTGGACCTCCAGAGAAACCAGTTGGCCCCTGTGTGAGACAGGATGCTGGACCGGATGGACCCCTGGTCTGATCCAGCAGGGCTCTTTTGATGTTCTTATGAAGGCCTCGGCCTCTCTGCCCTGTTGTTGGCCCTCCATAGGAACTGGTTGGCCCCTGTGTGAGACAGGATGCTGGACTAGATGGACCACTGGTCTGATCCAGCAGGGATCTTCTGGTGTTCTTATAGCAGGTGCATTTTAAGTTCCATTACATTCGGTGTCTACTCAGAGGTCATTTCGGGGGGGATCGCGGGGGATCGCAGTTCCCCCGGGTGAGGTACGGGGGGGCGGGGCACATGACGAAGCCCCGCCCCCCGACATTCTGCCCACCCCGCTTCCGGCCCTCATTCAGCCAGGAGGAGGCAGGAGAAGAGGGAGGGTCCAGTGGAGCTGCAAGGCCTGCGGCGGCGGCCGGGACTGTTGGGGGCGGGGTGTGTGGCCTTATGACACACTTCCGGTAATGTCAGGGGGTGTGGCATATGCTAATGAGTTATGCTAATGAGTTCCCCTAGCTCTTTTTCTACGAAATGACCCCTGTGTCTACTGCTATTTCACCTAAATCTAGCAAAACACCCATTGGTATGTGAGCTGCGCATTTGATGGAAGGAGGTGGGGGCACGAGCCAAGGGCCTGGGGCACCCACAGTGCCACCCCCACCCTCTGCACAGAGCATTCAAGAAGGTCACGGTGATGGGAAGAGAATTCTTGGACTGCCTCTCTTCCACGGATTCCAACAGGGGAACAGACAAATCCCAGAGACAGACCCAACCAGGGGTCATTTCCTGCGGGAGCGCACAGGAGCCGAGCTCCGGCAGTAAAGAGCCCAGGGGGCGGGCACATGCAACAAGCCCCACCCCCTTCTACCAGCAGCCCTCAGTCAGAGCAAGAAGCAGCCAGGTAAGTTGCAGAGCCCCCTCATAGCTAGCAATCCAAAACAGTCCAGTGGCAGCTTTAAGATCAAGTTTTATTCAGGTACAAGCTCTCCCTCCTCTGTGAGGGCAGATCTGTGTGGGGAAACCCCGCCCATAGCTAGCAATCCAAAACAGTCCAATGGAGCCTGAGCGGTGGGTGTTCCCTTCTGACACACGTCCGTTGATGTCAGGGGGTGTGGCATATGCAAATAAGTTATGCTGATGAGTTATGCTAAGGAGCTCCTGCACCTCTTTTTCTATGAAATGACCCCTGGACCCAGCCATTACTGGCCACACGCTCCTCCATCAACCTTACCCTGTCCAGGAGGCTGTCTTGCAAGAGGGTCTGCTGGAGGGCCCCCGGAGCCACTTCCTCCAAGTGCAACACGTGGCAGAGGTCGGTCAGCTCCTCCCGCCCCAGGGATCCCGAGCCGGTGGGATCGAAACTGTCAAAGAGTTCTTTGAGACGGGCTTCGTACTGGTCCTGCTCAGCTTCGTCCATCCCATAGCCCACCGTGCTCAGCTGGGGAAGGAGAAAGAGAGAATGCACAATCACAAACAGGAACATAAGAACGTAAGCAGAGCCCTGCCGGATGAGACCAGGGGTCCATCTAGTCCAGCCTCCTGTCCCACACAGTGGCCAAGCAGTTCCCCTGGAGGGCCAACAACAGGGCACAGAGGCCGAGGCCTTCATTAGAACATCAGAAGAGCCCTGCTGGATCACACCAGTGGTCCATCTAGCCCAGCATCCTGTCTCACATAGTGGCCAACCTGTTCCTCTGCAGGGCCAACAACACGGCATAGAGGCCAAGGCCTGCATGAGAACATCAGAAGAGCCCTGATTGATCAGACCAGGTCCAGCCTCCTGTCTCACACAGTGGCCAACCAGTTCCTCTGGAGGGCCAATAACAGGGCATGGAGGCCGAGGCCTTCATTAGAACATAAGAACAAGAGAAGCCAATGTTGGATCAGGCCAGTGGCCCATCTAGTCCAACACTCTGTCGCACAGTGGCCAAAAATACCAGGTGCCATCAGGCAATCCACCAGTGGGGCCAGGACACTAGAAGCCCTCCCACAGTTGCCCCCCATGCACCAAGAATACAGAGCATCACTTGCCCCAGACTGAGAGTTCCTATCTATACCTTGTGGCTAACAGCCGCTGATGGACCTCTGCTCCATATGCTTATCTAATTCCCTCTTGAAGCCGTCCATGCTTGTACCCTCCACCCCCTCCTGTGGCAGTGAATTCCATGTGTTCATCACTCTTTGGGTGAAGAAGGACTTCCTTTTACCTGTTCTAATCTGACCACTCAGCAGTTTCATGGAGTGCCCATGAGTTCTGGTATTGTGAGAGAGGAAAGTACCTCTTTCTCCACCTGCTCTATCCCATGCATAATCTTATAAACTTCGACCATGTCATCCCTCAGCCATAGTTTCTCTAAGCTATAGAGCCCCAAGTGCTTTAATCTTTCTTCACAGGGAAACCTTTCTTCATAGGGAAATCCTTTGATTGTTCTACTTGCCCTTTTCTGCACTTTTTCCAATGCTATAATATCTCTTCTGAGGTGTGGTGACCAGTGTTCCCTCTAAGCTGAGTTAGTGTGAGCTAGCTCACAGTTTTTTAGCCTCCGGCTCACACATTTTTGTCTTAGCTCAGGAAGGACGGCTTCAGAGCAAACTAATTTATGCAGTAGCCAAATCACCTGCTCACAACTTTCATGCCAGTAGCTCACAAAGTAGATTTTTTGCTTACAGGACTCCACAGCTTAGAGGGAACATTGGCTGGTGACCAAATTGTACACAGTATTCCAAATGAGTCTGCACCATCGATTTATACAGGGGCATTATGATACTGGCTGGTTTTCAGTTCCCTTTCTAAGAGTCCCCAGCATACTGTTGGCCTTTTTTATTGCAGTTGCACACTGTCTCGACATTTTCAGTGAGTTACCTACTACAACTCCAAGATGTCTCTCTTAGTCAGTCTCTGCCAGTTCGGACACCATCGATGTGTATTTATAGTTAGGATTTTTGGCCCCAATGTGCATCACTTTGCACTTGGCCACACTGAACCCCATTTGCCATGTTGACGCCCACTCGCCCATCCTCGACAGATCCCTTCGGAGTGCCTCACAATCCTCCCTGGTTCCCATCACCCTGAACAATTTAGTGTCATCCACAAATTTAGCCACTTCACTGCTTACTCCCAACTCCAAATCATTAATGAACAAGTTAAAAAGCATTGGACTAAGTACTGATCCCTGTGGTACCCCAGTGCTTACCACCCTCCACTGAGACAATTTCCCATTTATACTTACTCTCTGTTTTCTATTAATTAGCCAATTTTTTGATCCACAAGAGGACTTGTCCTTTTATCCCATGACTATTGAGCTTACTTAGGAGTCTTTGATGAGGAACTTTATCAAAAGCTTTCTAGAAGTCAAGGTAAACAACATTGGTTGGGTCCCCCTTGTCCACATGTTTGTTCACCCCCTCAAAGAACACTAACAGGTTAGCGAGACAAGATCTTCCCTTACAGAACCCATGCTGAGTCTGCCTCAACATCAGAACAGCCTGTCAGAACCCACAGCTAACAACGAAGTACACACATTCAGGAACGGTTATACTTTTATTGCAAAGCTATAGATGCAGTAACACAGGCACTGTTAGGAATGGCGGCAACCAATAGAGCCTAATAGGATATAGGATATTCGTATGCGCACACACACACACACCATGGCATGGGCCAATTAGATATCCTCCCACGCGCGGGACAAGTTAGGAAACCGTTAGGTGGCTAAAGCTGGGAACCAGGAGTCTCTCATGGTACACAGGAGACTTCCAGACAATACAACCTCCTCCAGCACATCTGTCGAGATAAGCGTTTCAGCAAAGGCAGAACAGCAGGGATAGGAATGCAATAGCAATTAACAAGACACAGAATGAACTCCCCAACCCCCATGGCAGCATAGCTGACAGAGCCCTGCTGGATCAGACCAGTGGTCCATCTAGTCCAGCATCCTGTCTCACACAGGGGCCAACCAGTTCCTCTGGAGGGCCAACAACAGGGCAGGGAGGTTGAGGCCTTCATAAGAACACAAGAAGAGCCCTGCTGGATCAGACCAGTGGTCCATCTAGTCCAGCATCCTGTCTCACACAGAAGCCAGGCAGTTCCTCTGGAGGGCCAACAACAGGGCAGAGAGGCTGAGGCCTTCCCCTGATAAGGACATCAGAAAAGTCCAACTGGATCAGGACATCAGAAAAGGACATCAGAAAAGTCCAACTGGCCACTGTGTGATACAGAGAGTTGGACTGGATGGGCCTTTGGCCTGATCCAACATTGGCACCTCTTATGTTCTTATGTTCTTATCAGACCAGTAGTCCATCTCGTCCAGCATCCTGTCTTACAGAGTGGCCAACCAGTTGCCAAAGAGAGCCAACAAACAGGGCATAGAGTCTAAGTCTTTCATTAGAACATAAGAGCCCTGCTGGATCAGACCAGTGGTCCCTCTAGTCCACCATCCTGCCTCACACAGGGGCCAACCTGTTCCTCTGGAGGGCCAACAGCAGGGCAGAGAGGCATGTTTGGTCCTGTTTACACAGAAGCAACCTTGAGAGGTGCACATTAAAGCTTAGGAGACCTGGCCCATAAAGAAACTGAACAGTATTGTCCTGTAAAGAAATTGGAACAAGACTTCCTAATGCTGTTCTTTGTTCCTGAGGAAGGACCAGAAGTCTGAAACACTGCATACTACCTAGGAAAAGTGTTGGATATCTACTCTGGACTTTGTATTTTCCTTTCGTGGATCCTGTGGGCTTCTGTATTTTCCTAGGATGGATTACATGTATAGATTCATTTCTGATTACATGTGTATTTCACTTTGTTGAAGTCTCCTTTTGGATTTAATAATATTTGTTCATGTCTTGTGGCTCTCAAACCTCTGATATTTATTCTAGTTGGCTCTTACATTCAGCAAGTTTGGCCACCCCTGAATTAGACTTATAAACTGCCGATTACCACTCCTCTCCGGTTATTGAGGCTCCAAGACCCATCGAAGGGCCCCCTCCACCTACGAGCCACGCAGATTGGCCTCTTTCTGTCTTGACGTGATTTATCTAAAAACTTTCAAGCACCGCTTTCCCTCCCAGCTAGCAGATGGTTTGCCTCTTGGAGCACAACCAAGCCCGGACAACAGAGCCCCCCATTATTTGGGGCCGCGCTTGATTATTTTGTACATTTTTGCAGGGGAGAACGGGTCCCCCCTTCGTGAGGCTTCTCGACAAAGGCACCTTAATTACGGCTTCCCGACAAGTAAACTGTCCCTCATTATGAACTGATTAAGCAGTTAAAAGCCAAACAATTTCTTTAAATGTCCGTCAGCTGGCCGACGGGCCTTTTCTGGGCTGTCAGTCCACAAGTAATGATTTGGCAGCGGTCTGAAGATGGAGACTCCGCACAGCGCTGCCCCGCCTAGATATCCCAACCCGCGGCAGCTTCCCGACAAACGGCACCACCACGGATCGGTGTCCTGGCCGCTCAGCTTCCTTTCCCAATCTGGTGCTTCAAAACGTTCATATGTGCTAAGTAAGGCAGTTTCAATCCACTTCGGTGACTGTTTGCAAGTGGATCTTTCCGTTTCACACAGCAAACTCCAGCTGCCAAGTGCACTGAAAGTGGATTGGACATGCATTATTTAGAGTGTGTGAAAGAGCCCTATGTACATGCCGAATGGTGAGAAGGAGGAGGAGGAGGAGGAGGAGGGGGAGGAGGGAGGAGGAGGAGGTTTTTATACCCCACTTTTCTCTACCCTAAGGAGTCTCAAAGGGGCTTACAATCGCCTTCCCGTCTTCTCCCCACAACAGGCACCTTGTGAGCAATACTCCCTCTAAGCTGTGGAGTCTCGTGGGCAAAAATTTTACTTTGTGAGCTCCTGGCATTAAAGTTGTGAGCGAGCGATTTGGCTACTGCATAAATTAGTTTGCTCTGGAGCTTCCTGGGAGGAGAAATGACGTAAGCTGTTTTGGGTCTCCATTGGGGAGAAAGGTAGGGCATAACTGAATTAAATAAGTAAATGAAATAATTACTCCCCAAATCTTGTTGGTCTGTAAGGGGCTACCGGATTAGAACCTAGCTCTTGGAGTCTTCAGTTCTGAAGACTCTGAAAGGGCTGAGAGTATGTCACCAGCTGAGTTTCACAGCCAGTGTGCCCTGCTCTGGCGGTACCCTACACCAGCTTGCTTGGCAGCTGTTTGGAGTGCCAAAGGAACAGACAGTTGCCAACTTCCAGATGGGGCCTGGAGACCTCCCAGAATCACAGCTGATCTCCAGATGACAGAGAGACCCCAGGAGAAAAGGGCTGCGTTGGAGGGTGGATTCTGTGGCATTATACCTCATCGAGGTCCCGCCCCCCCATGTCCCATCCTCCCCAGGTTCCATTCCCAAATCTCTAGGAACTCCCCAGCCTGGAGTTGGCAACCCAGACCAAAAAGCAAGCCTGGACATGCTGCTTCAACACCCCAGT